CTGCCTTTTTAATTTAGGATCCCTCATTCTATAGCCTGTAGTTTGCATCCGATGATAAATATCTGATCTTGTTCCCATATATTTTCTTAATTCCTTTGAGCAGATGATTTTGTATTACACAATATTCTTCTTTGATTTTTCTTAAAACCATGCAAGAGCCAAGTAAGAGAAAAATGCCTGAATAGGAGCTACCTGAGAAGGAAAAAAAGGCCATGAGAAAAAATTCTTCATGTAGAAGCAAAAATGACCTTCTGTGGTGAGTTTCTCTGTTTTTCAAGAGTAATAAGTCTTGGCAGTTGGAACATGCTATTCACCTAAGGGCTGTCAATCATTCTCACTTTGAAAGACAGAATTTATGAATTGTCAACATGTCTTTTTTTTTTTTTTTTATGAATTGTCAACATGTCTTTGAGGCGAGAAACCAGTGTTCATCAAGAGAAAAACTAAAATAAATGCTCAAATAAATTGAAAAGCAGAATGTTGCCTGGCCACCCGATCTTAAGCACATGTATTTTTTTTTCTTAAGCACATATTACACATAATCTCCGGTTCCCATGTTATAACAATGGCCATATGTGTGATATGGATGACAAACCACATGGCTATTACTGTGCGTTTCAAGCAGAACATAGTCTGGAGATCAATGGCTTGAGTTTGTTTTTTTTGGGTTTTTTTTCCTGCATTCTACATAAAGTAAACTATTTGTCATTGAGCAACTCCCATAAATACAACTCTAATACCAAAACTGCTGACAGCCTTGTAGGCGATTTCAGTAGCGGAAGCCAGGACTGAACACAGTGAACTGCATTAGAGTTGGTCCCTGGAGAGCAGAATTGAACTTCATTGGCAAGAGCCCTGTAAGAGTTCCATTTGACTCCTCATTAAACCTCTCCTAGGCATTACAGCTCTTTTCTGTGGCTGCTACTACTTCTCTTTCCACACAAGAGATAGATGTGAACACACAGGTATTGGTACATTTTCACATGTTTAAGAAAAGATGGATTGTCTTTTTTTTTTTTTTTAAAGATTTTATTTATTTATTTTAGAGACAGAGCACAAGAGGGGGGAGTGGGAGAAAGCAGACTCCCTGCTGAGCAGGGAGCCCGATGCGGGACTCGATCCCGGGACTCCAGGATCATGACCTGAGCCGAAGGCAGTTGCTTAACCAACTGAGCCACCCAGGCGCCCCGAAAAGATGGATTGTCTTAACAAAAACCAAAAACTGAGCCTCTTGCAGATTTTTACAAAGATCTTCCAGTCTCTTGTTCATTAACGGCTTTATTATTATTTCCCAAAGCAGTAGAGAGCTCTATTTCAATTTGTGCAAATTCATTTTTTAACGCCTGCAGATTCTGTGTTGTCCATTTATCTTTTCTCCAGGGAAAGCAGCAGTAGGGGTAAAATGGTGATAATGATCTCTGTCTTCTTTACCTCACAGTATTGTCGGGATAATGAAATCAGAACAAACATTTTGAAAGGATTGGTGAAACACACATTACTATTTGTACTGTACATTGCCCGTGACCATTCTCGCTGCTTTGTATTCTTGAAAACAGCTTAAGATTTACCATACTTTGGAAGTACGCACTGGAAAACTAGTCGATAGAAGAGACACAGGGCGTGCCCTATGGATTGAAAACCCCACACTGCTGATGATCTAGCTTTCACATTCTTCTTGGGAGGCTCTTCTAGGAAGATTCCCAAGAATGTTACTGTTTTAAGTGCAATAAAAACAAATGAAACTCCTTTTTTGTTTTTTTTTCCAGCAGCAGCTAAGTAAAATACTTTTCTCTGGAGAGAAAATCTGTGGTTATGAAATGATACTGTCAATCTTCAGGCCATCTAATCACGGTGTTACTTAATGGAATATTAATAATGCTAATCACAAATACTTTAATGGGGAATGTTTTACTGGTTACTCTTCACTGTTATTGTTCCCCAGAAGTGGTCCATATGTACCCATGTGTGAGGGCATTAAAGGCCAAGCAAATTGTGGTATAAGTGATGAGGAAAAAATAGAAAAACAATATAGCAAATATGATTATATACAAATGTACATCACTATGAAAGTTCCTTTTGCACTTACAGGATGACTGTATGATCAGTAGAGTTGCTTTCTTTTTTTTTTTTTTAAGATTTTATTTATTTATTTGAGAGAGAGAGAATGAGAGAGAGCACATGAGAGGGGGGAGGGCCAGAGGGAGAAGCAGACTCCCTGCCGAGCAGGGAGGCCGATGTGGGACTCGATCCAGGGACTCCAGGATCATGACCTGAGCCGAAGGCAGTCGCTTAACCAACTGAGCCACCCAGGCGCCCAGTAGAATTGCTTTCTATTGCCCCACATACATCAGCCAAGCCTATATCTATGTATCCACACACACACATACTTGTACACACACAAATAAAGTTCTTATAGATATAAGCAAACCACAACATGGACACTTTAAAATCAAAATCAATTCAAAAGAGGAGTCATTAGCAACTTGTATGATTTTGCCACTGGTCTAAACATATCTTGAGTTCTAGACATTAAATCACTTTAGTGTCACTTTCAAGAGTGTGTGGGAATAGAATGTTGCTTCCAGGAGCTTCAAACTAAAAGGAAAACTATCAAAACAAAACCCCTGTAAGTTCAGTCCCAAAGATAAAATTTTCAGGTAGCCCATGAGTCTGACCCAGAGGGAGGGAAAAGCAGCTAATATTTTCCCAAAAGAAAGAAAAGGCCCAGGCCAACAAAGAGAGGGCATAAAGGCACTAAAAGTGAGCACATGAGGGGAAAGAACATGACAACAAAAGATGCTTCTAAAGGAAGACACCAAAGACAGTATTTTCACATAAATTCAGACCATTATTTTTTTATTTATGTGTATGAGCATTTAGTACACATACATACACATGTAAATATATTCAATCTAAACCTTTCTTAGACACATATACATACCAACCAAGTGATTCCTGTTTGGTCATTTAGTTATCTAGCCAAAGGTTGAGTAAACATAGCCCCGGGTCCTTTTTCATGCCACTATACTCCCTAACTGTGGGCCTGAGACAAACTCCTACATTCATAACCAAGGTCACCTTGCCTGTCTCCTGGTGCCCAAGCATGTCTCAAAGACAAATAGGAAGTTCCATTATTGACAAGGTGCAGCAAGAGTTATTTACATAATAATGAGTGATTTATATTTATTTTTTTAAAGATTTTATTTATTTATTTGACAGAGAGAGAGAGCACAAGCAGGGGGAACTGCAGACAGAGGGAGAGGGAGAAGCAGGCTCCCCACTGAGCAGAGAGCCTGATGTGGGGATGTGGGGATCCATCCCACCACCCTGGGATCATGACCTGAGCAGAAGGTAGATGCTTAATCCACTGAGCCACCCACGCACCCCACAGTGATTCATATTTGAATAGAGTACCCCATAGTTTATTTTGAAAGACATCTTCCAAAAGCTACACATAACAACCAAAGGGACATAAATAGTTTGAAAATACACAGCTAGGAATTAGTTGCCTGAGCTTCTAAAAAGTCACGGATTAGTTACTCAGGAATAATTCACACTTGTTAAAAAGCATATGGGTGAAGGGGGTCAAAAGTTACAAATTTTCAGTTACAAAGGAAATAAGTCAGGGGATGCAATACACAGGATAGTGACTGTAGTTAATATTGTATATTTGAAAGTTGCTAAAAGACTAATCTTAGTTCCCATCACAAGAAAAAACGTTGTAACTATGTGTGATGATGGATGTTAACTAGAATTGTTTTGGTGATCGTTTCACAATACATACAAATATTGAATCATTATGTTGTACACCTGAAACTAATATAATGCTATATGTCAATTATATCTCAACAAAAAGATAGTTCAGGAGGGTCCTATTTATCCTTCACCTAGCTTTCTCCAAAGGTAGCATTTTATATAATTATAGTATGTATCAAAACCGGAAAACTGACATTGGTAGAGTTCACACACCTTATTCAAATTTTACCAGTTTTTCTTTTAAGATTTTATTTCTTTCTTTGAGATAGAGAGTGAGAGTGAGAGAGAGAGCATCAGTGGGAGGAAGGGGCAGAGGGAGAGGGAGAAGCAGCTCTCCACTGAGCAAGGAGCCTGATCCGCGGCTGCATTCCGGGACCCTGGGATCATAACCTGAGCCGAAGGCAGACACTTAACTGACTGAGCCACCCAGGCGCCCCCAAATTTCACCAGTTTTATAGACATTTGTATGTGTGGGCTCTGGCGCACGTGAACCCCTCCTGCGTTTCTATGCAGTTTTGTCATCTAGGCAGATTTGTGTAACCACCACCACCGTCAAGATAGGGAACTGTTTCATCACCACAAAGAGTCCTACTATTACCTTTCTTTAATTACATACCTCGTCCCCGCCCCCGCCCCCGCCCCCATCCATTGCTGGTGAGAATGTAAAATAGTATAACCACTCTGGAAAGGCTCAACAGTTTCTTTAATAATTACACATTTTTTAAAGTATGTTTATAAATATATGTACTATATTGTGATCCCCCCTCCTCGACTTCTACATTCTGCTTCAGGCAACCTGACAGACTTTGGTATCAAAAGACAGCCCTTGAAATTAGTAAGAGCTGATTTCAAATGTAAAGTGTATATAATTGTACTATTTCCTCCGGGTAGGAGTGGGATGGAGAGAATGGAATCCTACCCGTCAAACACACGTGCATGAACCACGCACTCCATCACTACAATCACAACCGCCAGTTCCCTCCAAGTGTTTCTGTACTTTTATAACAGCAACTGAGAGCAGATGTAGGAAGATTGAGAAGAGACTGGGATCCGGTTCCCCAAGTTGCTCAAGAAGAGTCAGTGAAACCCCCGCACAACTCCTGAGTCCCAGAGACAGTGGAAAGGGTCGGGGCGGAGCCTGGAGTGGGGGCTGTCCAGAGATAACAGGCTGCAGGCGGACCCTGGTGGGAGGGCTGGGAGGCTGCTGTCACTTTATGAGTCCGCGGCGCAGAGTGAGAGTCTCCTGCGGCCGGAGGACCGCGGCGGGCTGGGCGCAGGGCATCCGCCTCTCGCTCACCACGCGGACCCCGCGTCTCCACCGGCAGCCTCGGTGGCGGCGGCCGCAGAGCCTCGCCCACTCCAATCCCCACCCTCTCCATCCTTAGCTGTTAAAGAACTGCAGCGCCTGGCACGTTCCGGGAGGACCCCCGGCGCAGAAGAGGAAAGGGAGCCGGCGCAAGGAGACTGGAAAGGCAGCATGCGCCCCCCGGGAGCAGCCTCGGCGCCCACGGTCTGAGGCGGGAGCCTCAGTTCGCCATTGTGAGCCGCCGCCGGGGGAACTCGCACGCGCCGCGGTCCCCCCGGGTCCCTTCTGCACCGTGATGGGGCACCTGCCCACGAGATCCCGCGGCGGCCGCCGCTTCCTGTCTCTGCTCTGGCTCTTTGTGCTGCTCAAGGTAGGGGAGCGTCCCCCCCCTCCGCCTCGCGCCCGGGCGGTCCTGCCCGCGTCCGCGCTCCGACGCCCGGGCTTTGCCGCGGGGGAGCGGCGCGCCCCGGGGCGCGATGGCCCGGCGGCTGGAAGCGCCCGCTGTGCAGCCTGGGTGCAAGCTTTGTTGTTCTTGCGTGTGCGTGTTCCCGGAGGTTTTGAGGGATGGGGTGGAAGAACAGGGAAGTTTGCTCTCTCCAGCTTTCACCCTTTGTGCTCTTTTACCACCGCTGGTATCCGCATCAAAGGTGGGCTTGTTAATTAGTGTTTCACCAGGCAAAATGAGGTCACTTTTCCTTCTGGTCACTGCTGCACCCCAATGCTGCTCAACCCTACCGCTCTCTCCCCAACGGTGTGTACGGCTGCTTTGTCTTAATTTACTTTCTCCTGGAATTATACACCTGGGGCTGAGCTCCCTGTCCTCAAAAAGACTGCCGGGGTGGTCGTGAGCATGGTTTTCTTTGAATAAGGAGTGTCAGCTTGAGCCTGGAGAGGACTCTTCTCCCCAAGTCTTCATCTTCAACCTGATAATTCTTTTCACAAAGTCTTTAGACTTTCCCCCACGTATTTACAAAGGCTGGTACCTCTAAATTTAAATGACAGAAAAAATCTATAAAATTAACTTTTTTGAGTTTTCTTTGGATTATGCTGCATTTTGAGAAAAATGAAAGGGAAGGGGCTGCTTTTTTTTTTTTAATCCTAGTTTGACAACTATACTGCACATAAAATCTTTAAAACAAATTTCAGCTAGATGTTTGCTTGGAAAGTAGTGTGAAGTTGTGAGGTAATTGTCTACCTCTTGTGTCTTCAGAGTGTCTAGTTTTGTCGTAGTCCTCCCTTTCCTGGCAAAGTAGTGTGTCCACAGGTGATTGGGAGCTATCCTTTCAGCACCACCGTGCTACCTACCTTAGAAATGGACGAAACGTTAATGGATGCAAATGTTTCCTTACCAAAGCGTCACTTTTTGCTTACATGCACCATTAATTATGAATGCTTGACAAGGAGGTAGTGGAACAGGACCAATGGATTGGGAACAGCATCAATTTTAAATATTCCATATTTTTATTTATCTTAATGGAAAATAGGAAAACTAGTTTCAAGGAGAAAGAGCAACAGAATGAATAAATAAAATTCTAAATTATATTTCATATGTTTTTACATTTTTCTTAAGTTGCTAATAATAATTTTATTTAAAATCTGGTAAATAACAAGCTTGGTCATGTGTTTTTATTATAGGAGATTGCTCTTTTAGCACACATCATAATTATATTAGACTTATTTAAATTTTCTATTAATTTTTCTAATTGTTAAATTCTGTCATAATTATTATGTCTATGCAACACTTGTCATGAATCCAGAGTGGGAAATTGCATCACCACACATTTTTCTAAGTAACAGCTAAGACTTACATGTATGACATCCGATCCAAACCCAACGTTTGGCACAACTGCAGGTTTTCTTTTGAATTCTTCATAATGAGTGAGAATTTCAGAAATGGTCAAATAATGGGTTTGAGAGTGGGAGTAGAGTGCTGCAATTAAAATGTAAAAACTGTGGCAAAACTTCTAATGAAAACTTGATTTAGATGTGAGAAAATGCAGTCAATATTGGCATAACGGTATTCTCAGTGACTGTAAGAGAGGTTCACCCTGTTCCACACAATAGGTGTATTTTTGCACATTTGCAGATTGGTGTCAATTATGGTTAACTGCATCACATAGTAAATACATTGATAAGGCTTGTCATTTAAATAAATATTGTAATGGGACAACTAATTTTGTAGAGCAAGTCATTACCCTTTATTTTATGTAAGTGCAGAGTTTGTGTCACCAGGATGTAAAGTATATCAGAGGAAAAAAATATATGTATATTAATTATATATATATTATATATATATTATATATAATATATATATAATATATATATATTAAATATATATATATATACTGAATACCCACCATGCGCCAGTCAGTCTTCCAGATATTTCACATATGCTATTTCATTAATCTTATTTTGTTACAGTTGGGAAGTAATATTCAAAGCATTAAACTGGGCACAAAGGATAAGGCATTTACATTTGGGAGTAGTATATTACATGATAAGTTTGGTACATCGTATACTCTCTTTCTAATTTGGAAATACATTTGCATTCAAGGTCCTGAATAAATGTCAGTATAGTAGACCTGGAAACAGTTCCATTATTAAATAGCACATTGTTGATTGAATCTCAGTGATAAGATCTGTGTGCTGAGTCAGAAACAATTTATCCAACCTCCCAAAAATCACCGTGGCTCACATTATGTCAACAAAGCTTTCACTACTCCATTTGAAATATCTTCTGTATAAGAGTGAAAATTCCTAAGAGCCATAAAGTTAGAGAAACCGAAATGGGAGGCTTGATTTATAGTTTTATCTTTTCCACAAATCAGGAGCTAGCAGCTAGGTATAAGTGATGGGAAAGTCTGAAAATTTGAATCTGTATGATTGGCTATAACCAATTTCATTGAGATAGTGTAAATGTGCCTGGACGTGGAAGCCTTTGTGCATCATTCCTTATCCATAGCTAAGTGATAGGAACATTTAATCAAGCATCTCAGATTGTCTAAGTCATCCACTGTAGGTTATGAGGCTAATATCTGCATAAGCACAATGTTGATTATGAAATTTTGAAATGTCATAATCCATATTGATGGCATATATAAAAATAGAAAACAAAAGTGGAACTCTATTATCAAGTATCCTGGGAGCCTACCAATCTGAAATTCTTCTACCCACATATGAATGTAAATGGAGTATTTATCTGATGAGTCTCCCTCTTGTGTATCTTCCCAGCATTCCCAGTGAAAACAATGTAATTTCTCTCACCTATCCTATCTTTACTAAACCTCTTCCTGAAAATTGCTTCCTGTATCAGTTCACTCAATATCAGTATTTTGTCAACTAAGATGCAAATTGTAGAATATGACATCATAGGAATTTCAATTCTGCCTTCCCTGAAATGGTGCTCATTAGTAGTCAAGTGGAATGTTTCCTTAAACTCATAGTCTTGGCATGAATCCTTCTTTCTTTCCTTAACCTCCTCTCTGTATTTTCTTCTGGGTCTGCTCTTACCTGATATGTAATCAAAGAACATTAAATTTGAAAGAGGCCTTAATTATATTATCTGAAAAGATGTTTATGTTTAATTTTATAAAGCGTGAGTGTTATGATGTTGGCCATAGTACTATTTAGGAGAAATATCCACTCTCCAAGGTCTGTCTGCCTTTCTCCACTTCCCTGTCTCTCCCTCCTTCTCCTTCTCTCCCACCCTTTTCTCTTTCACACACACACACACACACACACACAAGAAGTTTCACTTCCACGTGGAGGTTTCATTCACATTTTATATTATACAATATTGGCCGATGAACCATAATCTTTTCATCTTTCTAGAGCAGCCTAACCCACCCTGCTCTCAATGAAGTCTGCTGTCATTAACTCCTCTGTCAACTGACTCCTTTGATAAATGTTGTTTCCAACCTTTTATTTTTACCTTATCTTCTTTTGTTTTTTTAGTGCTAACCTTTTCAAGAAACCCTTTCACATATGACATCCCCAGTAAGCTGAAGAATGTTCACTGGGCTGGGCTTCTACTGGGGATTGGGTAATAATCTTCCACTATATGCGTGTTTACCTTTGTTCTTTGTTGTGTGAAAGATTGTTGTTATATTAAAGAATAAAAAATTCACACCTTACCTCTGCCTTATTTTGGTCCATAAGAAAATACACATCTATATGGATAAGTAATTAAAAATGACCTAAGAGTTGTATTTTATTTTTAAAAGTAGCACTATTTCTGGCATCTAAATAACCAACTTAAAGGTATTTAAACTCATAAGTACATTGACTCCTGAGCTTTATCAATATAATTCCAACTTAAGTCTTGAGGGTTTGCAAAGGCCCTTTGGTGTTGGATACAGGGTGCAGTTATTTAGACCTTTGTGATTGGTAGCAGTGTGGCACAATAAAGGGTTAAGAGGAATGACCACAGATATTTATTTCTCATTTTCTTCCCAATTTAATACCTTCAGGTGCACAGTTCTAGTGCTGTTGCATTTCCACAAGTATAGCCCCACTGCAATGATGAGCTTTACTAGAAAGCACCTAGTATGCTCATTTTATTACTCCAAATATATTTATTTTTGAAATAAAGGAAAGTATATTGTAATTTTTTGTCTTCCACTGTGCTTAGGATGTGGAATTAGGCAAATAGTAGAAGCTTCATAAACAGAATTGAAATTTGTGGCTTTATACAGTTTCTGACTGAGAGGTGTTAAATACCATAATATTGACTTGTGAGCACATCTTTAAGGAAAGCATGAGAAAATTATCATTATGTGAATTAAATTATTATAATTACAATGCAATCATTACACTAAAAAATAATAAAATGTTACCAGTTCTCTATATTAAGAACTTATTAAAATTATTAATCAAAATACCAATGTGGCTTTTTTCCAAAAATGTAGCACTCTTGGTTGCTCATTTTTTCCCCAGTGTTACCTCAGCTGCTATGTGCTATCATCAATGAAATAATAGGGGAAATAGCTTTCATTACCTCTATATGTGACCCGCAACTTCAGCCAACACCCAGCTATGTAGGTCACGTTCTTGCTTCCTTTTCCTTATCACCATTCTTCTGTGACCACTACCAACTACAACTGACAAAGATTTCTGCATGCTTCTAACAGAAATCCCTCTACTTTTTGCCATAACTTTGCCTTGAGAGATGAAGCCTTTTCTATACCCTAGTCTTGGTTCTATCTATGGTAGTGTTTAATCCAGGAGCATAACTCAAAGCCCTGAAGAACTCTTCTATGATGGCCTCAAAGGCCCATTGGTATCAGCTCTTTCTGCTTAAATAAATATGCGAGAGCCTTCTTTGTGCACTTATGCCCTTAATTTGAGGAGCCAAAACAAGGTTAATATGGC